AATCACAACGAGAAATGAATGGGAGGTGACAAAATGGAATCCTGTGTTCGAGAGTGTGTTGACTCCAAGAGTTCAGCTATGAAGGGGGAAAGAAATAAAGGACAATGGCTTGAGAGAAAAGCTGGGAGTGCATCTCCCATTTTTCTTCTTCGACTTTTCCCAGGACTTAGCAAGCAATATCATTCCATTCCATTCTACAAATTATGGACCTGCTAGGCTCAATAACTCTACCTGAGGCAGTTTGAGAGTTCACCCAGACCAACATCTGTCGGTTGAGTTGCTGAGAGATAGGGATATTGGTGGGGAGGCTGAGCAATTACCTTGGGAATTTGGAAAGGATGGGTGAGCAATCTGGACGACTCAGACCATCTTCCCCCTCTGCTTAAAAAAAAACAGCAGAATTACACTGTGAATTTGGAGGTGGGATAAACAAGAGTCTGAATGAACAACTGCCTCCTTTTCACATAGCCTGGAACTTTGGGAAGGCCCAAGCCCCATTTAAAAAGGCAATTCACACATTCTGTGGGAAAATTCCCTCTTTTATCAACTATTTCTAGCCCCTACTTTCAATTTATTTGAAAGAACTCCAGATTTGGAGTAAATGGGCCTGGGTTCAAGTCCCCACCTTCCCAGCAGTTGTGAAAATAAAAAGAATCAATTGAGTATTTACTGTGCAACAAATCAGGCATGGTCCCTGCCCCCAAAGAGCTTCCAGTCTAGTTGGGGAGCTAACACTATTGGTTTGTCCTGAGCATCCACTCCAAATGGTGGGCTTTGGGGTGCTTTTATGCCCTCATAATTTTGATCTTCTTCCCCTTTCCCCTGCACAGACACACAGACCCTCATACCCACACAACCTCATAGATGACTGCTCTGGACACTTAGCTTCTCTTCCCTGGGGTTTCTGCTCTCCCTATGGCATCCACACCACTGCTGCTCCTTCCCCAGGTATTCACTGGCTGCAGGGAGCTCTCCCCACTAGCCTGTGGTTTCCTCATACCTGAGCTTTCCCCACTTGCAGTCATTGCACTCCTTGTTTGGGTGAAACCATTTAAGGGTGCTGGCAGCACCTCCCATGCATCAGTGGGGGAAAGAGGCCACACTGAAGACAGAGCTGACTTTCCTGCCTCAACTCGCCATGAGTTCCCTTGGACAGGTCATTTTCTGGAGGTAGCATATTCATCTTTCTTTGTTCTTGGAAAAAGAGATTGGAGTTGGCAGGGGTCGGGGGTAAGAAAGACTGGTTCGATGGCTACCTCTCTGGCTCTGGGCAGTATCAGTTTCTGTGCAGCTAGGGCATGTTGGGGAGGTAATAATCTGCATCCAGCACTGTAATGGCCTATATCCAAACCCACCAGAAGAGATGTAGATGAGATGTGACTCTGCCACAGTTTTAACTCAAACCTCATACCCCTCACTGGGGACTATTTGGGGGTTTAGAAGGTTTTTTTTTTAAGCTGTGCCTGGCCAAGAGGTTTTGCTCCAGTTTGGAGTCAAGATGCTGGTGCAGAAACAGGCTGGTGAGAGAGTATACCACAATAGGCAATTTTTTCTTTGTGATCTACCTAGGTCCTGGGTGAGGTTGCTGGGCTGTTCAGAATGGAGGGGGATCAGGAACCCCAGACCCTGCTTTGGCAGCTTTCTATTTAAAATCAGGCATTATTGATCTATGGAATTCCTATAGGTAGATCCCAGAATGAATAATAATAATAATAATAATAATAATAATAATAATAACAATAACATAGTGCTTTCTATGTGCCAAGAACATTGTTGGGGGTGGGGAGGGAAGGCCATGAACTTGTGAGTTCATCTCTTGTTGTGGAAACTGACTTTGCCAATTCAGCTCAGCAACTTTTCTGTAACCGAGTCTTAGAGAACTGCTTGGAGCATTGGCAGGGGAAGTGATTCACCCACATCAAATAGCTCTCTATGTTAGAGGCAGGATTTGAACCGAGGTCTTCCTAACTCCCTCTATCCATTGAGCCACATTATATGTAGAGATTTAAAGTTCGTAAAGCACTTAAAAGCTATCATTGTATCAGGACCTCACAACCTTATGAGGTAGATACTACAGATATTATGCTATCCAATTTATAGATGAGCAAAATTGGTTGAGAAGTGACAGGAAGGTCACCCATTCAGCTAGTAAATGCTAGAGCCCAGATCCAAAATCTCTGGATTTTCCCATAATCTAAGGGTGAAAAAAATTTCTGGTCTTCTCAATGCCCAGTAGAGTTACTGGAAGGTAATTTCTTATTGCTGAAAAATTCTTATTCTCACTCCCTCACAGTGACTCAATAAACTTCATTTATTCAGTCCTCTGTGAATATGTCCAGGGAAGCCCAGGCCCAGTGGGTTAGAGAGTGCTCATTGAAGCTCAGCCCCAATCCCAGTGCACCACAGAGGGCTGGAGAGGTAGTATAGACAAGCCCAGACCTGGACCTCCAGGAGTTTCCAAGATCCACAGGGAGCTATGTGAGCAGCAGCAGCAGTAACGGTGCCATGCTGCAGGACCATGCTTTGCAAACCTTCAAGGTGCAGAAATGTGAGGTCTGGTGTAGGGAGAGGGGAAGAGCTTTTGCACTGCCAAGTGCTAGACTAGGTGTTGGAAGATCCTCTCCACCACTCATTGACTAATTGTTTCATCTTAGACATCCACCCCCAACCTTAATTTCCTCAAATCTAAAATAGGAACAATCATCCATTCAAAAAGGCATCCCAAAGGTCATTGAGATAATGTATGTAAAATGTTCGGGGCAGTTAGGTGACACAGTGGATACAGTGCTAGGTCTGGAGTCGGGAAGACTTATCTTCCTGAATTCAAATCTGGTCTCAGACATTTACTTAGACACTCAGACCCTGGGCAAGTCACTTAACCCTGTTTGCCTCAGTTTCCTCATCTATAAAATGAGCTGGAGAAGGAAATGGCAAACTGCTCCAGTATCTCTGCCAAGAACACCCCAAATGGGGGTCATGGAGAGACCAGCAGGACTGAAAACGATTTTGAACAACAACAAATGTAAAATGCAAGCTGGCTACTATTTGCTTGTGCCCAGGGGTTGAAGAGTTGAAAAGTGTGGTTTAAGGCAGTTTTCCAGACAATCCCAAACTTCCCCAAGACAGTGAGGGAAAGAGGCAGGGTTCAAGAGCAGATTCTCAACCTTTTGTTCCTTCCACATTCTTTAGTCTCCTAGTCTCAGAACAATAGCTGTCTTTCTACACAGATAAGAGAAAGCAGCCAGTCCCTTTGATGAGACACCTTGCGACTCTGCTCCAAAGCCAAGACTCATAGCAAGTTCTTAGGATGTTGGGTTCCAGCTGTGGGTAGGGTCAGAGAGGTAGGAGACCCTTTGTCTTTAAGGGGCCATTCCCAATTAGGGTAAGAGTTCTTAGTGGACCCCTTTGACAGTCTGTTGAAGCCTATGGACCCCTTTTCAGGAGAATGTTTCCAAATGTACAAAATATATTAGATTACGAAGGAAACCAATTATGTTAAAATGTAGTGATCAAAATATTAAAAAATAAGCGAGTCCCCAGATCCCAGATTAAGAACCCCTGCATTCTCAGGGACTGGAGGGTAGTAGAAGGAGCACTGGGCCAGAAGCCAGATGATCTGGCCTTTAGTCCCAGCAAGTCATGTGACTTCTCTGGGACTCAGTTTCTTCAAATGTAAAAAGAGGGGGTTGGATTAACTGACCTTTATTTTTTTTAGTTTCTACTCTGACATTCTATGACTAACATTCCATTGACTTAAGAGCAGCTTCCAGAGGAAGGAACGTTGAATTGGAAGTTAGAAAACCTTGGTTCAGACCCTACTCTGCTACTCAACATTTTCGTAACCTTGGGAAAGTTACTTAACCTCTCTAGACCTCAGGTTGCCCACCTGTAAAAAGAAAAGATTAGGCAGCAGTGGTGCAGGAGGGAAAAGCCCTGACTCTGGGGTATGAGGATTTCTGGTGCTCGGTACCTTTGTGACTTTGCATAAGTCATTTCATTCCCCTGGGCCTCAGTTTCCTAATCTGTCAAATGAAGGGGTTGAAGGTCCCTTCCAGCTCTAATGCTAGTGTTGGGGGTCTGGCTCTGGCTGCCTCTCACCCTCATCACTGTAGCACTGGTTAATATAATCATTTTACCTTCTCAGTATCACACAGGGACCATCCTTGCTAGCTGGTTGTCTTAGAAGAGGTCTGGGAATACATAGATGTTCCCTCCTTTCCCAGGAAGGTGCCCCTTAGATCCACCTAGTGATGTTATATTCCTGGTCCCATACCAACAGTATGGTACAGCTGACCCTGGCATCAGGAAGATTTGAATTTGAGTCCTGTCACTGACAAATGCTTCCTGTGTGACCTGGGCTGGTCATTTAACTTTTCAATGATCCAGGTATTTCTGAAAGTCTCTAAGTTGCAATTGATATACATTAGCAAAGAGCATTTCTTCACTGGGAGTTCCCTACCACAGTGGAATCACAGATACAGACCAAAAAAAAAAGTTTAAATGTGAAACAGCCCCTGCCCCCACCCACTGGCCTTGTCCTGTACCAACTGTAAAATAAACCAATCTCCAGTGTGTGTGTGTGTGTGTGTGGGGTGACTTTAATGGCCCTACTGGTTTTTCAAGGGCAGTCTGGGCAATAGCTATGTCTCTGCTTGCCTGCCCTTACATTCCCACCCATGCTAGGGATGCCTCATCTCTGGCCAAACACAAATCTTCGGGGGCTCCTACCCAGAATCTCTTCCTCTGAGCTTGAACCCCAGCTTAATGCTCCCCTTCCTTCCTTGCCCTCTGTACTGTCCCCACGTCTGACTTCACTTCCATTCAAAATCCTTCTTCAGGCAACAAGTGTCTGTTGTTCAGGGGTGTGTGGGCTTTCTAATGACACACCGACAACCAGCCTGACTGGTTTTGCTGGAGGAGTAGCAGCAGGTAGGAGTTTGAAATATGGGTCCCCCCCCCTTCAGAAACCCACTAGAGTCAACAGAGACTCTTCTTGTTGGCTAAGCTAAGGCATGGCCCATTAGCATATTTACGCCTGGCCCCCACAAGAGCAATGTGCCATGTAGGCAGGGCTCCTTTTGGGAGAAGCAGCTCCTTCCACCTTCCCACCATCTAGTCGGCTTCTGCATCTGCCTCTGTGGGCAGCCCTAGGAGGACGTAGACACTAGAAAGCATGTCCTTCGTGCACAGGTAGGTCCTACCTTAGGTCTTTGGAGCATGGGATAAGGTGTCAGAGATCTGGGTCAAGCTCTGTGATTAACTATGAAGACTGGCTGTCCATATTTGGGCATAGTCCTTCTACTTATTTGGGCCTCATTTTCCTGATCTGTCAAATGGGCATCATACTGCCTTCTCCATTTTAATACCAAGCTCATAGTGCTGTTGTGAGAGAAGAGTTTTGTCATCCATAATAGCACTGCCTAGTACATAGGGTTGTTATAAGGAATAAGGCGGGAGAATGGGTGTGAATGTAGTTTGTGTTGTGGACTCTGATTTACCACAAATTCACCTTCTCATGTGAATGCTCTCTAAGTAATTGAAGGAGCTGTCCAATTTCAGTTCAAAGTTAGTAAACATAAAGATGTTGGTTTTTTCCTCCATCCAAGCCTGCAACGTACACATGAATAGGTACTAGATATGGGGTCAAGAAGACATGAGTCCAAATCATGCCTCAGTTACTTGTTAGCTGCATGACCCCTGGGTTTAGATTTCTTTCGGAGCCTCGGTTTCTTATGCATGGAATGGGGGTGATGATATTAGCTGTAGAATCTGACTCACAGGGTTATTGTGAAGCTTAAAGATGTCTCTAAAGTTTATTGCAAACCATAGTGGTATGTACATGTAAGCTGTTATTACTATTTAAATAGGTAGGAAAGGGCTATCTAAAAGTATTCTAGAATCTATCCCGAAGGTCCCTTGCCACTGTGAATCTCTGGCTCTAGGACTCTATGAGTACAGATGACTAGGGTAGACATTGGATGACTTGTCTGTGTAGTATGAGAGAATCGGGGCTGGCAGCTGCCCAGAGGGATTGTCATAATTTATAGGAACCACTTTCCACTCCTATGGCCCTTTCTGATTTCCAAGGCCCTGCCACAAAAATCCGGGATGCTCAAAGTAGGAATGGAAAGATCTGTTTGGTGTGTCAGAGGTGTCTGGGTGGGCCTGGAGTCAAGGAGACCTGAGTTCAAATCTAACCTCAGACACTGTGTGACTGGGCAAGTCACTTAACTTTTACTTGCCTCAGTTTCCTAATCTGTCAAATGGAGATAGATATTTATAGGAATAACAAAATGATGCTAGCTGGTATTTTTTCCCCGCCACACCATAATGGGCATTGGGAGCCTAGCTTTAGCAGCCAGCTTCAAGGGTGATGAGTATTAATTACCATTTGTTGAATGTCTGACAATGCCAGGGCTATAACAGAATTCTGGGAACACATAGTCCCTGCCCAGTACATTGGCCAACTAGATAAGATCCAAGTGATGATGAATCTGAAAAGCCGGGGCCTCTGAGAGCTCATTAGCACTTGGGTTTCCATTTTCTTCCTTTCCTCTTCCCCTAGTTTTGAAGGATTTTTTAAGTCACATTCTGAAGTCTGTTTCTGGAGGCTGTCCTTTAGGTGTGTAAGCCTAGGGGAGAACTTCACTGAAGCAATGACTCTTGGGGAAGGGATGTAAAAGAAGAGTGTCCCAGAGGACAGATAACAAAATCTATCTCCTTCCTCCTGACAGGGAAAACAGGGCAGAATGTTGCACAAGTCAGTTGTGGTCACTGTATCACAGGTTTGTGAGACATTTTCTTTGTTACAAAGGACCGTTACCATTGTGGGGTAGGGATGTGGAGGAGCAGAGGGGCATTTCCAGAAATCATTGCCTTGTAAAACCGAAAGATAAGAATAAAAAAGATTTCTTAAAATTAAGAAAGAAGGGAAGGGAAGCCATTGGCTAGGAGAATGGAGGTAAGGAGACCAAGACTGAAGCAGGTTAGTGTGGAAAAGCCTCCAAAATAATGAGGGAGAAAGGAACAAGGGCGTCATGGGGCAGCATTGCTCTGGAAGCTCTCTTTCCCATTCCTTAGTTCCTTAGGCATGGCAGTGCTTCAGGCATTGCAGATCTTTCAGGAAGAGGGATATTGAGCTTGGCAAGAAGTAAGAAAACTTTTCTGGCTTGGTACATGTACCTCTTCAGAGCATGGGAACAAAGGTCCAGCTGGGGGGGCATTGAGCCCTCATCCCGGTCTGAGGTGGCAGGTTCAGTTATCTCCCAGGAGCAGGATGTGAATGAGGAAGAGAAGGAACTATCTATGCTCCTGGAAGCAACAGCTCAAACAGGTACCAGTGCCAGATGGTCACATAGAGACGTCACCTTATTGGCTCTTCTCTAACCGTAATACGTGGTCCTGGGAGGGCACACCTGGGAGGATGGGGTACTGCAGATCTCAAAGACATTTTCTTGCCTCATCCAAAGCCCTGGGGAACATTACCCCACTGAGTGGTCCCTGCCAAGTGATTATTTATTTAGCAGGCTTCCTAATAAAGGTCTGGACTTAAGAATCCTAGTTTCTTTCTCTTCCTTTCCTTCCCTCCTTCCTTCCCTCCTTTCTTTCCTTCTTTCTTCCTTTCCTACCTTCTGTCCTTCTTTTCTTCCTCTCTTTCTTTTCCTTCCTTCCTCTCTCCCTCCCTCCTTTCCTTCCATCCATTCTTCTTTCCTTTCTCTCTTTCTTTTCCTTGCTTCTTTCCTTCCTTCTGTCCTTCCTCTCTCTTCCTTTTCTTTCCTTCCTTCTTTCTTTTTCTTCCTCCCTCCCTCCCTTCCTTCTTTCTGATCCTTTAGTGCATGATATAGAAACTTGTACATCAATTCAGTAAGTGTCTATTGTGTTCAGAAATGAGAGAGACAAAGTTTGGAAAGACAAGATCCCTGTTGTCATAGAGCTTACAGTCTAGTGGGGGCGGGGAGGACAAAATACAAACATGGACAACTACAATATACAAAATTCTGAGTGCATTATGGACAACATACAATGTCCCTCTGGATAGAATGTAGCTCCTTAGGGTCAGGGATAATATATTTTTGTCTTTGTATTTCAATTACCTAGCACAAAGTAGGAATTTAATAAATGTTGATTGATTGATGAATAAAGTGGTACAGAATAAAATATAATGTAAAATCCTAGAGCAAAGGTTGTTCTCACCCAGGGGGGAATCAGAGAAGGCTTCATAGAGAAAGTGGCATTTATTTGGGGCTTTTAAAAATAGGCATTAAATAGAATTGTTTGCTAGGTTGAATTGGATTTTAAAATAAGGTTCCTCTCTGAGCATGGGGAAAGAGTATTTTAGATCTTTTTTACATTTCTGAAATTTGACATCATCAGGTTTGAAGGCTGCGCAGAAATACTTCAATGGGGATGAGATGCAGTATCTCAGTAGAGTCATGACCCTGTTAAGCCATTAATTAGTTAAACCACACTGCACACCTGGAAGCCAGCCAATATAATCATCCCCATTTGACAGATGTAAAAGTTGAGGAAAAGCCACTCCCCTATTACCTCTCAGCAGATGGATGCCTGAGCCAAGGCCAGGACTGACAAGCCCTTGCCTAGGGCTCTGCAAAGGAAGTCTCTGTTCATCATCAGCTCAACCTTGTCTCTTGTCTTTCATTATCTAAACCGGGGTGGGGAACTCATGGCCTGGAGGCCACATGTGGCCATGGAGTGGGATCTCCTACCCCAGGTGGGAATCCTTTCTGTAAGATGCCTGACAAATGAGCATTCAGCCTTTGTCAGGATACCACCAATGACAGGGAACTCACCATCTCATGAGTGTCCCTTTATTGGACAGGTTTTACTTTTAGTTGTTGTCCATACTGGCTAAAAACTTGCCTTCCAATAACTTTATGCAATAATACCCACTGAAGTGCTGTCATGAAGAAAAGGAATCAGACTTTTCCTTGTTTCGTTGTTTCAGTCATGTTTGACTCTTCGTGATCTCATTTGGGGTTTTCTTGGCAGAGATACTGGAGTAGTTTGCCATTTCCCTCTCCAGCTCGTTTTACAAATGAGGAAACTGAGGCAAACAGGGCTAAATGACTTGCCCAGGGTCACACAGCTAGTAAGTGTCTGAGGCTGGATTTGAACTCAGGTCTTCCTGACTCCAGGCCCAGTGCTCTATGCACTATAGCACCCCCCCAGCTGCCTTTTTACCACTTGGCCCCAAAGGGCAGGAACTGGGCCAATGGGACGAAGTTGCAGAAAAGAACATTTTAGTTTGAGGTTAGGAAAAAGTTCCTACCAGTCATTCAACTAGCTCAAAGTGGAATGATCTGAGTCAGGAGGTAGTAGGCTCCCCGTCACTAGCGGTGTTCAGGTGGAGGCTGGGTGCTCACTTGTAGACAACTGGCTAAAGGCAGCTAGGTGACACAGAGGACAGAACACTGGACTTGGGAATCAAAAAGACCTGAGTTCAAATCTTGCCTCATACCCTTACTGCATGTGTGACCCTAAGCAAGTCAGTCTACCTCTGTGCCTCAGTTTCCCCATCTATAAAATGGGGATAATAATAGCTTCTACATCCCAGGGTTGTTGTGAGGATCAAATGAGAAAATGTTCGTGAAGAGCTTTGTAAACCTTAAAGCTGTAAGTAAATCCCAACTATCGCCATTACTATTATTATTTTTGTTATTAGAGCAGATTCTGTTCAGAAGTGGATTGGCCTCCATGACTCCTCACCTCCCTTCCAACTCTGCCTTTCTTAAACCCAATTCTCCTCTCTGGAAACAAGCAGAAAAATGATCTTTCTTCTTCTGTGTGAAAGCCTCTCACTTTTTTCAAAGAGAGCTATCATGACCCCCTCCAAGGCATCTTGTTTGTCTGGGATATCACTTCCTTCAACCATTCTTCATGTGACAGGACTTCTTGAGTTTTTGCACCAGACTGGTCATTTTAGACTCGGTCTTTTCACTGCATTCACTCTACTTTGTCAATGTCCCTCTTAAAAGGCAATGCCACAGTCTAGGGCTGAGTCCAGTGAAACCATCCCCTCCCTTGTTCCATACTTTGATTCTCTTAATTCAGCCTGAGATCACATTAGCTTCCTTCCTTCCTTCCTTCCTTCCTTCCTTCCTTCCTTCCTTCCTTCCTTCCTTCCTTCCTTCCTTCCTTCCTTCCTTCCTTCCTTCCATCCTTCCTTTCTC